AGACTCCAGGAAAAGAAAGAAAAGGTCTATTCAGTGTAAACACATTGAGTGGAGGATCAAAAAGGTCCAGTGTTCCCATCTCCAAATCTATGTTTAGGGTTAGGTTCGAATTAAATACTGGCCCAGAGATGTGCATAGCTAGGTAATGATGGGATCCTACTCATAGTCTTTGTCTCAACTTCAGTCTCTATCTAGGGTGGCTTGAAAAGTTGCCAATACCAAATGAAATCCCTTTCTGGGAGACAAACTCCTTCTCTGTTTGCATTTAGCATCTACTCTTTTCCTTCCTGGAGAAGGTTCAATTCCTTAGAATTCATTATCTCAGTGGTTTAATAATGAATGGAGAATCACAAATGTCTCTTGAATTTCTTCATTCTGGCAGGATAGTTCCATTTCCCTACTCTTGGTTTCTACAATTCAGCCTTGTGAAATATACCTCAACAACAAATGTTGCAAATAAAATAAACAAGAACATGGTTAGAGCATATTCAGTTAGTATTTAATCTTTGTATATTAAACTTACATGCCTTTAATACTGGTAATTTTTACATCATATGTAAAGCCTAGACATATAGTTCTTCATATTTCCATAGAAATTTGAAGATACATAGATAATAAAATGTACTGAATCAATTTTTAAAATTTTTATTTTTAATCATGTGTATGTATCTGTGTATGGGCATGTCCATATGATTTCAGGGAACTGCACAGACCAAGGCATCAATATCTCTTGCAGCTGGAGGTACAGGTGGTTAAGCCACCTGATATGGGCTATCAGAACCAATGTTTGGTCCTGTGTAAAAATTATCAGTGCTCTTAACCACTGAGTCACCCTCCATCCCCCAAATCGCTTAAAAATACTTGCCTTTTAATCATCATTTCAACCACTTGCAAAGGGTAAGTCAATTCTTCAATGTAGCCTCACTGGGTATATAAATCACTCTTAAGGCCAGGCTCCATACCCTGAAGTAAATGGCCAACACAAAAATGGACTCAATGGTGTTCTTCTGGAACTTTTTGTCTCAGAAAACTTCTTTGAGGTATTTTTGTATTACTTGTGTTTTGCTTGTATATTGGTTTCTGATTTTGTGCTTTTATGCAGTCTGTGTGTATTTCTTCAGCTTTGTCAATTTTTTAAAAAGGTTCTGGCTTTTTTCTTTATATATGTGCCTGGATTTAAAAAGGCATGTATTCAGATGGGTGGGAGGTAGGGAGGATCAAGGAGGAGATGGAGAGGGGAAATTACCACCAGAGTGTATTATATGAATTTTCAATATAAAACATGTAAATGTATTTAAAATTATTGAAATGTATCCTCTAAGTGCTTAAGAGGGTTTACTTCATGTCTCATATATTTCTTCAAACACCTAAAATCGTGGTCATTTACAATAATTTAATATATGTTAATACTTAAATAAGTCCAATGTCTAACAAAACTAATAGTACACATAGAATATTAAATAATTTAATTATTTATAATTTGTTTAATAGTATGTGTTTATATTTGTGGGGGGTGAGGTGTATAGCCATGTATATGAATAATTTCTACCAGTTAGTCTCAGGAATCCAATTCAAGTTGTTAAAGTTGGAAGCAAGTGTTGTAGGAAGGCTGCTTGCTCTTCCTGGCTTCTCAGACCCGAAATAACCATGCAGAAACTATATCAATTAAATCGCTGTTAGGCCTATTAGCTCTAACTTCTGATCTGCCAGCTCTTACATATTTATATAACCAAATCTATTAATCTGTGTATTGCCACGAGGCTGAGGCTTACGGGATAAAGTTCAGATACCAGTCTGCAGCAGGGCTCCATGGTTTTTCTCTGACTCTGCCTTCTTTCTCCTAGAATTCAGTTTAATTTTCCCCGCCTAGCTCTATTCTACCCTATTATGGACTCAAGACAGTTTCTTTATTAACTAATGGTATACATAGCATACAGAGGGAATACCACATCGACTGCCTTTACCATGGAACAAACTTTTTAATGTATAAATTCTGTTTTAAAGATAACCCTTTTCCCATATAATTAACAGGAAACCAATATTCTAAGTTTAATTGTTTTAAATATAAAGCAGAGAAAATTCCTTATAAACAGTACTTTTGCTTGGTCAACTTAATTATATATAATTCTCTTCTTTTAAGAATTACTGTTTATAAGCCTTATCAATTCTTTCTATATTCCAGACAACTAGTCAATGGCATTTATAGATACAGACATTGTGCATTCAGTAAAAGCTTATCTGAAAACTGAAAATTAAACAAACTTCCAAAATTTTGTCATGCTACATCTGTCATTTTGCGCAGATTATTTTATATGTTTATATACATATACAATTCTACAGATATTATGAGAACATTTTCTATGGCAAACACAAATATTCTTTTTAATGATACAATGAAACAGTAACCCTAAAACCTAGCATTGCACTTTTGTGATACTATTTTTAGCTTGGTAATATTATGATAGGTACACCAAGCTAGATGTTAAAATATCGGTTCATAACTTTTTTACAAAAAATATATATTATTAATTTAACAATTACGTCATGTAATACAGATGAAACACATGTCAATACAGATGAAATACATGTCAATACAGACAAGATATATGACTATATATAGACAAAAGCCCAAAATTTATAAAAAGTAAGCTCTACACACAGAATGATTCTACAACTAACCTTTCAAATTCACCTCTTAAGTTTGCCAAACAGAAAGCATTTCAGTAATTTCATTCCTTCCATTTATTTTCCTGAGATAATATCATAAAAAGATAGAGATATATAAGCTTTCTATTTGGTTATTATACTTAACACTTCTGCATTGCATGTAATTGTGTCTAGTCTACGATAAATATTTCCACATGGTTTTGTCCCACATAAAAACTGATAAATCCTGTGATCATTTCTGTTTTTTATTTATTTATTTGAATTTTGTACTTATACACACACACACACACATATATATTTATTTATAAACCTGTAAATATGCATATATGTCAGATGCTCAATTAAACTGCACAAGTACGTATTTATAAATGTGAGTGTTTAAATTATTTTTAAAAGACTTGATGAATGTGAACTGCCTTGTACAGGTAGGCTAATGATCTTAAAACTTATGAAAATAGTATTTGGGGTCAATTAAATGTTTTATAAAAACCTTAACCTGTCATTTGTTTATATAAGACTCCATTCATTGGAATTGAAGGACTAAGGACTATAAAATTTAATATTAATGCACATAGATTTTGATAAGGATGTTCTTCCAAAACAGACTATAACGAAAAAAATTGATTAGAATTTATTTCAATTAATTAATTAATAGTCAAGGAAATAATAAGAATTATATATCATACAATGCTTTATGTTAATCAAGACATCTGTTAGCAATATCTTAGAAATATTAAAATAAATTTTCTTCAAAAATATTCTTAACATATAAGTAAAAATTCTAATAAATGCTCTTACTGAGATATAATACAAATAAAAAGACATATTCCAAAGATCTTATTTTAAATTTTCTTTCCATGTTTATGATTTTGGGAGGGAGACAGAATCCCAACAAACAGTCACATTCAAAACCTATAGATTTCAAAGTTCTTATCTCTTCCAATTTAAACTGAAGGAAAAACATTATTTTAAAACCAGGCTGTCAATGACTGCTCAACCTGCCTAAAGTCTCATCACTTTTCAGGCAAAGTTCTGTGTCTTTAAAAGTCAAGTTTTCTGCTTAATATTAGTTCAAACCTTTAAGAGGATAAATTTGTTCTTAGCAAATTTATTTAGCAAATGCTTAGAGCTACGAAAATAAAGCGAAATGGTGTAACTTTAAAAATGACACCTTACATATCTAGATAAAAGCTACAAAAATCAGATTTTACAAGAAAGAATTCACCTTTAGTTACAGCTGTGTGCATTTATGGACTGTCTACAGCTACGTGGGTTCTTATATCCTGGACATAGTACCAAAATAGTTCATAAGTGGGTGCAAATTGTAATTACCAAATTAATCCCAAATTCTTTTCACCTCCTAATATAACTGCCATTTGAAGAGAAAAGACACAGTTCCAAAGGTCTATCTAGTTAAGCTTGCAACAGGGCAGGGCAGAGAACTCTGATGATTAGGAGTAGGACCTGATCCAACTGGAAGGAGAGGCTAAGACCTCTGCCTAGAGATGGGGGATTGGGCCAGTAACGGCGGAGTGTCTATGTTCTCTGGATCTTAGGGCCTCCAAGGAATGTGGAGGGGTGTGATCAGAAGAGGACTGGAATAGATTATTTGAGAGCTCTATAAAATTAGGAGCCCCGAGTTTCAGCCCAGACCTCATTCCTCTGAAGAGTCCACTTGGATACCAACAATGCTTGCTGCTGCAGGCTCTCTGGTGACCTCCATCTGGGCAGTGCTCCATATCCGGACTCTACTACTGGCTGTGGTCACCTTCTTGTTCCTGGCTGACTACCTCAAAAGACGGCACCCCAAGAACTTTCCGCCAGGGCCGCGACGCCTGCCCATCTTGGGCAATTTACTGCACTTGGGCAAGGAAAAGCCGTACCTGGCAGTCCAGCAGGTAGGAAGGTGCAAGATGGCCCAGTAGTGAGCTAATGGATCTGCGATTTCCAGGAACTGGGGGGCGGGGGTTGGCAGGCAGGGCTCCCAGGCTCATGCTACTGGTCCCTAAGCCCAGGACACATAGTTAGCTTCTAAACATGCACTTTTAAGAAATATTCAGCTAAGCAGGGCAGTTGTGGCAGATGACTGTGAGTTTGAGGCCAGCCTGGTCTGCAGCACGAGTTCCAGGACAGCCATGGATACCCAGAGAAGTCCTGTCTTAGGGAGAGGGAGGGAGGAAAACAGGGAGGAAGCCAGAGAGGGAGGGAGAGAGGGAGAGAGGGAGAAAGGGAGAGAGAGGAGAGACAGAGAGAGACAGAGAGAGAGAGAGAGAGAGAGAAAGAGAGAGAGAGAGAAATAATTAGAGAATTTCTTCTCTTTCAACGACATACTTCCTAGGTGATGAATCCATTTAGATTAGAGAACACACTGTGTGATTTGAATTCTTTAAATATACCCAGGTCTGTGTGATGATTTGATAGTAAACGATGACAGAGACAGATGTGTCCTGCAGCTTTACAAAGTGTGTGTAAAGTCTTGGTCTCATCTTTGTTGATTAAAATGCTTCTCTGGAAAAAAAAATGAGGGGTGTGGGCAGGATCGTTTGGTTTGGGTGTTAGCTCTCTCTTACTGAGCCTTAGTTTTATACATCCTTGCTGACAGCTCACTCACTGATTTTATCAGTTACTAAGAAAGCCACAATTTAGTGTCCAGGTCCCCTGGAAGAGTGACTATTTCTCCACTCAGTTCTGGAAGCTCTCCCTGATTAAACTGGGAGGTTTGTTCTGTGTAAACAGTGACATTTAACATTGGCAGGCACCATTTGATGACTTAACTGTGGCTTTCTAATGTTCCTCGTTATCCAAAGGAAATTTATTTTTCCTGATTTTTCTCTTATCTCTTACACCCTGCAACCTCCCCTTTGGTTAGTATGTGAAAGGCATTTGCTTTTCAGTTCTTTTATTTGGACCTAAACATAATACTAAAATTGCATCCATCTGGAATGCATATAATTGGGAAATTTATTTGTTATTCAAGTTTCATCACTAATTGGGAGAGATAGAACATGTCTGTTTACAATTTACATGTAAGCATTGAAACTCAATGCTTTATTGTTTTGTGTTTTGTCTATTTGCTCGGCTTTCATTCTTTAATTTTATTTTCCTGTCCTGCCACGGGTTTCTTGGACACTCTCCAAGTAGATGCCTTTTTATTCATCTTCTCTCTCTCTCTACATCTCTACTATTGTCCTCCCAGCATTGGTTCTGTGTTACTCAATACGCACACGCAGCTCATGAGAGTTTGCTAACAGCATTTTCCATGTGTAGTGAAGCAACTACAAACATGGGGGAATTAACCCTATCCCCTGTATGATGCACTGCCCCAGGTGCTATCCCCACTCACTGAGACCCACATCCCACACTGCCCTGCTCTTCAGTGTCGGTGCAGCTGGGACTCAAAGGCACAGGAGTCTGTTGTCTTTGCCCCTTACTCATCCTCCCATAGCTGTCTCTTTTCTGTCATTTCCTTTCTGACCTCAAGCACATTCTCCTTCCACTCCTTCAGAGGAGACTGTAGCAGAAGGGAACCTCTTAGCTGTGCCCCTCCTCAGAATGCCTTTCCCCTCCCTCCCACTCTGTCTTTCCCCTGATTGTAGACAGCTAGGTTGACAATGAGAGGCACTCACAGTTTTAGATGTTCTCCTACTCCTTGCTGGCCTTTGTGGTTTCCCTATAAGTATTAAAGGTTTTTGTTTTGTTTTGTTTTGTTGTTTGGTTGTTTGATTGTATTTGTTGTTGTTTTGTCTATTTGCTTTCAAGAGAATTAGTTTCCATATTGATTGTGGTGTTTTTGCATTGTTTGGGGCTTTATGCTGTTGGAATTGACATGGAAGGCTTGCATTTTGCCAGACTAGGAAGTTTCCAAACTTTTCCAAGCGTTTTCTCATCTACACATTCCTGTTTTCGTGACATTAGTACATAGCCATGACATCTATGGTGCTGTGTCTTGCTGTTTGTCATCGGCTTTCTCTGCGCTGTGCATGGGAGAGCTGCCTCTCACCTCCGCACTGCTTCTCTGCCAAGCTCTGATGCGCAGCTCTCCACAGAGGCCATGGCAGCTTCTGTCCTCAAATCGATACCTTTTCTTCTTATCTTTCTTTTCTCTGTTAAGATTTCCCACTATATGGAATAATTTTATAATATCCACTTTGAAATATTTATTTTTCCCTCTCTTTCCAACATCTGTGCCATCTCGACAAAGTTGAGGTTCTCTTGGGTCTTCGTGAATGAACTAAGCAATGTCAGGGTGGACATTTTGTGTAGTGTGCTGTAAAACTGATGAACACACTAGATCAATGCTTTACTTGTACAGGTAGCTTTAGAGGCTCCAGGGGATCACTTTTGTGAGTAATGACTCAAATGGAAATTTCAGAGTTTGCATTGTGAATCTGAATAACTCCAGTTTGTGCTTGATACCTCTGACTCCTCAACTCAGCAGCATTGGCTGGCAAGAAGGAAGATGACTGCAACTTCAGGGCCCCATCTTTATAGTACAGCTGCACCTCTCTACAGGAGGATGAACACCAGTGATCTTTCCATAACTGTCCCATTGGGAAGGGATGTCCTTATTGCTGCAAAAGAAAGATGGAAAGCAGAATTCTTTCCCAGGCTTCTTTGGAGATTCTCTTCATAGCAGTTCAACTATAGATGTCACAGTTTACCCCACAGGCTCAGCTCAGGAGAAACACATATCAAGATGACAACCATGAACCTCACCACTGTAACACCTTGATTGCCCCATTTGATGGCATTTGGCTCTGGGACTTAGAAGCAAAAAGTTAAAATAATCTCTGACCTGTTGAGAATCACTTTTCTTGGATTTTGGCAAAACAAAGTAAACTTTAGTGGGAGGTTTGCTTCTTGCAAATGCTATCATAAGTTACAAAAATTAAAAGACATGCTTTTATTTAATCTTGTCAGGGTAAAAATATTAGATCTATGCCTTGATACACAGTCATATGAAGTTGGGTGATATGTCTCGTGTCACAGAATTAGGTCATGGTGACACTGAGGCTGGAAACATCATGCCAGTTCAATAATTTTTCATCTATTTATTTTGTATTATCGATGGGTTTACATTTTGATATTTGTGTATAATCAAATGAGGTTAAATGATGCAATTTAGGTATAATTAAATTTTAATTCTTGCTGTGAGGATAAAACCCCACTAGTTGATGCATGGCATTCCCGTTGGTTTTTATGCCCCCTTCATTCACCCTCAATGATAAACACACATAGATTCACGTTAGCACCCATCTCTTAGCATTCCATTTTCCACTGTTGAGGAAAGGGTAATCTGATTTCCCCAGGTTGCTTAGTGGAATAGTGATAAAACAAGTTCTGATCATACAGGATATGACTCAATACAATGTGTGTGTGTGTGTGTGTGTGTGTGTGTATTCTGTAGAATAAAATGACCTTTAATATCTACATATATTTCCTCACAGACTCATTCACTCAGGAGACACTAAACAAATGCTCAGCATGACAGGCACAACACAACACGGTCTATGGTCCAATGAGTCCTATTTATTCTGTCATCAATTGTGATATCATCTGCAATCTAGATGGATGGACAGCTCTGGGCCTAGCCTTTGATAGAATGGTGCCGCCAGTTGTGCTGTGCCTAGAGGAATGTTTAACAAGGGTCTAGTGAAGTAAAGGGGTGGACATTTTATATCCATTAAAGTGACATCACTGTAAACAGGGTGAGAACAGGGAAGAAGGTGGCTCCTTGTTGAGCACGTGGGGACTCTACTTCCTGCCACATCACAGTTCCTTAGCTTTCTCTGTAGTAGTTCACAGAACTATTACAGAAATATTACACAAATAAGAGAGAGTCTTGTCAGACTGTAGTGGGCTGTGATACACAAGTTAGATATTAGCATGTACTTCAAGCTAGCTGTAACAATGGGACCCCAACATACAATGGTCCTGAATATGCCTCATATGATCGTCATATGTATAAAATTACTCAATAAATTCAAAGTAACTGTTAAGATGCCTACTATTGAAGGTCATTTCATTTTCTTTCTTTTCCTTTTTTTCCCATCTTTTAAATATAATCAGAGGTGACCCCTGAGAATGCCAGTCATTTTTTGCACATTAGCCAGGATTCTGTGACATGAATGCTGCATGAGCTCATCAGCACTGTCTCTGGGATCTGCTCCTCCATCATTTTGTTGCTTCTAGTACCAGAACCCTCTTCTAAATCATATTCTAATATTTAAATAAACACAGTTATTTTGCTTTGTTTCTGTTATCATAGCTATTTATTCAAGAAAGCCATCAACAGATATTTTCCTTTACTGTGAATTCCATGCTTGCAGGCCATAAAGGTTGTTCAGTGGTTAAGGGCACATGCTGAAAAACATGGTAATCAGAATTTGATCACCTGGACCCACACGGTGGGAGGAGACAACAAACTCCCAAAAGATGCCCACTGACATACTCTTGTGCAACACCACCATTCACATACAACACACACTCACACACACACACACACACACTGAATGCAAAAATATTTTTCCTTATTCTGTGCTATATACTCTGTGCATACTACAAGTTTGACTCACACAGACACACCTTGGTCTTTACCAGGTGGCATACACTGTATTCTGCCTGTCCTAGAATGCAGAATGAGGAGTTAGAGAATTAGCTTATTTACTGAAATTCATGTACTAAAATCTTCCTATAGGGATACACACTATAATATCATCCATTCATTGATTCCTGTTAATGAATTTGTATTGGTGAATCTCATTCTTTAAGTTGATTTGCATTTAGGACGTTTCAAAGAAAAGAAAAGCAAAACCATTTCAACATACCAACATGTATCATTCACTGAGAAATAAAGACTTATCAATATGATTACCATTTGCTACACATATGTCTGCCATCCCTGGACACAGAGATATGAGCACACTCGCCGCTAACTATTGAAATATGTTTCAGCTTGTGAAGAAGTATGGGAATGTTATCAGTCTGGATTTTGGAATCAAGTCTTCAGTGATTGTAAGCAGTCTGCCTTTAATCAAAGAAGCCTTTACACACCTGGAAGAAAACTTTATGAGTCGCCCTCAATTTCCATTGCAAAATCTTGTCTTTAACGAAAATGGTAAGATTTTCAGGTGTTGTCAGATATGCGATGTAATTTTTAAGATACATAAAAGGCTCTTATATGCTTTATTTATCCATCACTCTCATAAGCCAATACCTTCATGAAATGCCATCATTAATGTGCGCTGGAACCACATTGCTTGAATGAAAGCACTCATAAGATGATTTTTAGGGTGTCCTAGTAGAGACTGGGTAAACAACTTATTAGTAAAAACTAATTCTATATATTTTGATAGGAAGTAACCACAGTACACAAACACAGCCAGAAACTGTGCTCACTTTCATTTCCCCATGTCAGCCCTAGGGAAATGGATGTAAGTCAGCTTTTCCTTTCTACTGCATCTTCCTTATAACTGCTTATGCTGTATCATTAAAGTCATGAGGATCTCGAGGCTCCTACCAACGTTATAATTTGTTAGTATGAGTACTTTATATTATTGTCAAATAAAGTCATAAGTTGAACACAGCAATTCCCCTCTTGGGAATATATCCAAGAGATGCCCCAACATACCACAAAAGCATTTGTTCAACTATGTGCATAGCAGCACTATTTGTAATAGCCAGAACCTGGAAACAACCTAGGTGCCCCTCAATAGAAGAATGGTTAAAGAAGGTGTGGAACATATATACATTAAAGTTTTACTCAGCGGTAAAAAGCAATGACATCTTGAATTTTGCATGCAAATGGATGGAAATAGAAAACGCTTTACTGAGTGAGGTAAGCCAGACCCAAAAAGAGGAATATGGTATGTATTCACTCATTAGTGGATTCTAGCCATAATTAAAGGTCTTGGAGCCTATTATTCGTGATCCTAGAGAAGCTAAATAAGAAGGTGAACCTGAAGAAAACCATGTAGTTATCCTCCTTGAGATTGGAAATAGACAAGAGTCCCAGGTAACCTCGGGTGCATGGGGGGATGGGGGGTTTTTGGAAGAGGAGAGGGTTAGAGAGAAGGGAGTAGGGGAGGAATGGGGAAAGCTAGGGGGATTTGGATGGGGCGGGGAGGAAGGATGGGTATGGGAACAAGGAAGTATATATCTCAACTAAGGGAGTCATTTTAGGGTTTACAAGAGACTTAATTAAAAATGGGATTTTAGGTTCAAGGAGAGATCCCCAGATTGTTCTCTGGACAGAGGAGAGGGTGCCTGAACCGGCCTTGGTCCATAACCATACTGATGAATATTTTGCTTATCACCATAGAACCTTCATCTAGCGATGGATGGAGATTGAGACAGAGACTCACATTGGAACACTGGACTTAACTCCCTAGGTCCAAAGGAGAAGCAGAAGGAAAGAGAACGTGAGCAAAGAAGGCAAGACCAGAGGGAACCTTCATCCGAAGATGGATGGCGATACAGAGGGAGACCCACATTGGAGCACCGGACTAAGCCCCCCATCGTCCAAATGAGGAGCAAAAGGAAGAAGAAAATGAAAAAGGAAATCAGGACCGTGAGGGGTGCGATCACCCACTGTTACAAGGGGACTGACCTAATGAGAGTTCATCAAGGCCAGCTGGACTGGGACTGAACGAGCACGTGATCCAACCAGATTCTCTGAATGTGGCCGGATTCTCTGAATGTGGCTGGCCGGGAGTCTTTCTGAAAAGCCATTGACAATGACACTGGGACTTGTTTCCTCTGCATATACTGGATTTTTGGGATCCAGTCTGTTTGGATACTCACCTTCCTGGACCTGGAGGAGGGGGGAGGAACTTGAACTTCCCACAGGGCAGGAAACCCTGACTGCTCTTAGGGATGGAGAGGAAGGAGGAGGGGGAGTGGGAGGGTGTTGGGAGGAGGGGAGGAAATGGAAACTTTTATAATTTAATAAACTTTGAAAAAAAAAGATATTCACAGATATCCAAGGACAGAATTACCACCTACCCAGTTGCTACTCTGGATTTACCCCAAGACCAGAATTGCTGATAGCATCATATTACAGAACTGATAATTTAGAGGCCTGGGTTCATTCTTTTTTTCTATCATCCAGAGCAAAACTCCAGACTTAGGCATATTAAAACTGCATTGTCTGGTGTATGTGCTATATGATCAAGAACTACCAGCTTCTCCTTGACTATTTACATAAGTTGCCTAGTTATCTGTTATTTTCTATGCATTCTGGGAGATAGAAGTGGCATGATGGTTTAAATAATCCATGTCCTAGTCATAATTGACTGAAAATAAACATTTTAACCCATTACTAACCACCTAGAAATGCAACATAACACACTAACCTTTCCCTCTAGAATTTCCTAATGATTTGATTTCTTTCTTGCCTAATTTTTTCATTAAGGAGTTTACCTGATATGTATTAGCCACTCCCATGGAACTATGTGTATGTGTGCAAACTCTTAAATGATTTCCTAATGGGCAAAAATTCTGATCCTGGAATCTGCTAGTGATCAAATGATAGGGTATATAACCAAGATTGCTATAGCTGCGTCTTCAGGAGGATTAATTTCCAATTTTCTGAGGAAAAAAAACATATTAATTTCAATAGTCGAAGAACTCCTACCAGCAATTGAGCAGTATTCCTCTAACTCCAAATCCTCCCCAATACTGATCACTATGCCTAACCATTCTGGGTCTATAGATTATAGACTGGTTATCATCTATTTAAAAACATTGTATCCAGGCATAGGTGAATAATACAATATTTATTTTTCTATGCCTAGGTTACCTCACTCAGGATGATTTTTATCTAAGTCTATCCATTTGCCTCTAAATTTCATCATTTAATATTTTAAGAGCCGAGTTTTTCTTCATTGTGTAATGTATCACATTATTGTTATCCATTGTTCTTCTGAGAACAATGGAGTAACAATGGGAAATTTAAACTGCTTCCTATTTCTTACTGTTATGAGTAGAGCAACAATGAACATGTTTGAGCAAGTGATCAAATGGTGGGATGAAGTATCCTTTGGGTATATAACTAAGAGTACTATAGCTGAAACATCAGGAGGATTGATTTCCAATTTTCTGAGGAAAAAACATAATTATTTCAATAGTCAAAGAACTCCTATCAGCAATAGAGCAGTATTTCTCTAACTCCAAATCCTCCCCAGTATGAGCTGTGATTTGTATTATTGATCTCGGCCATTATGGAAGATGTAAGCTGGAATCTCAAAATAATTTTGATTTTCACCCCTTTGATGACTAAGAATTTTGAACATTTCTTTAACAATTTATCAGTCATTTGAGATTCCTTTATTGAGAATTCTGTTTAGTTCTTTACCCCATTTTAAAATTGGATTATTTGTTTTTTATCTAGTTCTTTGAGTTCTTTATGTATTTTGGATATTAATGCTCTATTAGATGTAGGTTTGGTAAAAAAATATTTTCTCATTTTGTAGGCTTCTACTTTGTTCAAACATTAGTGTCCTTTGTCATGCAGAAATTTTTTAGTTTCATGAGGTCCCATTAATTAATTGTTGATCTTAGTGCCTATGTTAATGGTGTTCTGTTCAAGAAGTTGTCCTCTTTACCAATGAGTTCTAGAATGAAGAAGCCACTAGACAGGAATCTTTTCTAACCTATGTATCAGTTCCTTGCTCTATATTTCTTCCCATTTTCAGTTCCTTCCTTGGTTTCCCCTCAGTGAACTTGCAAGGCAAATAAACCTTTTCTTCCTTGTCTTAGTGTCCTATTGCTATTATTGCTATGAAGAGATACCATGACCAAGGCAAATCTTATACAGGGAAGCCCTTAACTGGGGGTTTTCTTCCACATTCTAAGGGTTAATTTTTTATTATCACGGTGGAAAGTGTAGTGGCAGGCAGGAAGACATGGTGATGGAAAGTATCTGAGAGCTTGCAATGCTGGTCTACAAGAGGAGAGAGAGAGAGAGCGAGAGAGAGAGAGAGAGAGAGAGAGAGAGAGAGAGAGAGAGAGAGAAACACTGGTCCTGTGGTCCTGGTGTGGGCTTTTGAAACCCCAAAGTTCCCCTCTATGGACACATTACCTCCAAAGAAAGTCATAGTTACTGTAACAAAGTCATACTTCCTAATCCTTCCCAACAGTTTCACTTCTTGGAGACCAGCATTCAAATCATCTCATTCCCAAGGGTCTTGGTGTTTCACCACAGCTAAGATAACCCTTGGGAGAGGGAGTGCTAAGATCACTTCAGGGTAGTGTGAAGGCTCACCATGTTTACACTCGCCAGGTTATACAGACATCAAGCTGTTGCTGGGTCAGGGAATGGGGAAAAGACTCCTCAGTTGTTAAGCTGCCTGTCAGTTAAGCAGGGCACTCTTTAGTTCAGATTCCTTTGAATCATCCTTGTTCCTTTCATACCACACCCCCAATTACTGACTCACAAAGTTGAACTTTCTGTGATTGATTGGTGCTCTGCCTAACTGGGATGAATAGACGTAGGTGTTTCAAGGAATGCCATGTGATAGGTAGATTAGGGATAGAGCAACCTTGTCTTGTTTCCTTATGGAGTCTTACAACAGAAAGTACTTTACTCTAAAGCATTTTCAGTTCTGCATTTTTTCCTTTTTACCAAATGGTGAGATTTCTTCTCTTATACCCCGTTTTATTATTTTTGTTTAAAAAATATATATTGATGTTTTGCATGAACATCTGTGTGCCATATATGCGAATGGTACATGTGAAGACCAGAAGAGGGAATCAGATTTCCTGGAAGCAGTATTGACAAATGGTTGCAGCTGAGTATTAGATATCAGAACAGGGTTACCTGGAAGAGCAGCTGGTATCCTTTACTTCTGAACCATCTTTCAATCCCCTTGGACCCCCATTTAAAGGAAGAAAACCCAAGATTAGAGATTTAAAAGGCTACATGAAGTCACATGGCCCATGTTCCTGTCCTCAAGCCTGGTATAATATTTTTTTTCTTTTACTTTCCCCTTTGTTACTTATCAGAATAATGGGATCAGCAGGCTTGGGATTGGACAAGAGGGTAAAGACTAAATATTCTGGTCATTTCTGCCCTGATAAGTTGCTTCTTTTCCTACAAAGTCCTGCTTATTTTAGCTGTCCATTGTAGGGATCACATTTTATGTATCTTTGTGGGACATATTAAGAGAAGATGCACTTTCTGAGATGCATTTGAATAAATGACTTCCTTTCCTGCCATATGTCTTGTACACGACATGCCAGGTAGTTATAAAGATGGGAGGGAATGTTAGAGCATCATGAAAAGGGAAGGAGCACTGGGGCATCTGGAGTCAGAGAGGAATGACGGTTGTAAGGGGCAACCACAAACTCTTTGTATAATTCTTGAATGGGAGGAAGACTAAGTTTATATATTTTTCTATGAACATTTAAAAAGGTATTGGTGCATGGGTAGACATTTCCATGAGGAGTCATGGTCAACTGCTTCTGACATTTGTGGCTCCTAGGTAACATGGTACTTGGTCCTGTCAATAAAATACATTCTGCACTGAGATCATCCTGTGCTGTGCCCTGCTCTATGGTCCCCCATAGAGAGCAGAACAGAGGTTTTTCAATGTGTGCCTTTCCTTGATACCCTCCATTTTACAAGTACATTTCAGTGCTATTTTGAGTGAAAAAAAATTAACTGTGTGCCTGGGTGAACACATGAGCAAGACCATAGGTCTCTCACCACTCTTCGGAGCAATATCTGATAAGTTACTTATTCCAGATTGTAGACCAAAGCCACCATATAAATTTATTGGCATAAACTGATAATGTGGGGCACTTCAGTATATAAGAATCATTTATATACTGTAGATGTTTTCAGTTTATGCACAGAAGCAGGTCTTTTGCCCAAGTAAAATTTGGTCTCATCTTGGGCATGAAAACCTTAAATTTTTAGGACAGCCCTATGCTCTCTTTAGTTTTGGAGAGTCCACTGACACCTAAGAAACTGACTTCAAACCAAACCCTTCTAGAACTAGTGTCTATAGTTCTGTTCTCAGCAAGCCTCCACAGATTATGGGATGGAGAAAAGACATTTGTACCACTTTCCCAGGGAACAATTTAACATCTAGAAGCCAGTGCAAATTTATGAAGGAGGCAGGAAATGAACTGAAGGTATAATTTTATGATATGACTTTAATGATTTTCATGCTGTTTCTAACCCACCTTTCATATTTACAAGCACTTTCTTTACAGGGGGAGCCATCATTCTCTTTGTAACTCTTAGATGAAAAGATTTATAAGTGATGTATAAATTTATAAAAAGATGTATAAGTGATGACCAGTTCAGAGGACACAGCAGTCCAGGACATGGATCCAATAACCATAGCTTAGTCTTCCCATCCTTCCCTGGTCACCTTCCTTCTCTCCCTTCACATATGAGTGGCTCCGGTGGCTCAGAGGATTGCTCAGTTGTTCTTCTTTATTCTCTTTCTGCCTCTGACTTCACAGTCTACGGACAGCACAGAGACGGTGACTCACAGGGGAAACGGGGACGCCAAATCTAGAGTTTAGGCTCAGCTTCTCATTGACTGGTGGCTTGAAAGTAAATTTTTGCATAAGAGCAGTGAAGAAAATAAAGAGCTCAGACCTGGCCAATTGTTCTCCAAGGCAAGCTCGCTTTCCTGCAGGAAATGAAACAGAAGATGACATACTTTCTTAGTTGGCATTAGTGACTACAGGGATTGGCATTTCCATTTTCCTTCATAAATCTTGAACTGTCACTGGGCTTTGTGCCCAGCTGTTTATTTATGTTCCATACGTGTCTGAATGTGGAATGTTCCTCTGAAATTGGAACTCAGGTTCAAAGCGGGGTGGGGGGGTCCAGGAGAGAAGTGGGAGGAGGGGAGAAAGTGAGAATTTTTATTGGTATTATTGATAAAGTAATAAAAAATAAAAAGGAATTCTTTCTGACACTCTAGTACAGTTCTGGAAGCTGGCATCCTGTACTGTGAACGAGACACCTGAACTGGATATACCACATAATGACTTAGCAGTCAAATCATAGACTACTATATAACCCTTTTGAGGAAGAGATAACTTAATGATTAATAATATTTACTGCTCTATCAGAGCACTCTATCAGATCTCAGCATCCACATCAGGAGGAGTATAAATACCTGCAACTCAAAATTCAATGCCTCTTCCTGGCCTCCATAGGCTCCATCACACACCTACATTTTATGTACACATAGAGAGACACATTTACACATATGTAAATAAAATAAAACATAGAAAATAAAAAAGATTCCAAAACATAAGAAGGTGTTAGAGCTGAGTCCCTAATATAAAAGTCGAAGACATACAGGCTTTCCCTTGCAAAGGTTCTAGCTGTTAATGATGGACAACTAGAAGACATCTCTTTATTCATTTTGTACCTGTCTCCTGTCTCAAATCTTGAATCAGATTCCTGCTGAACCCTACAGACAGGCAGTTTCATTATTTAGTAAGTACACATCTACCTCTCGCCATCATCGTCCCAGATTTCAAGGACGAAGATGCAGAGATAGGAAGATTTAAGGTACAGCTATCAAACTGAGAACAGCTTGCGATTCTCCTGCAAAGCCCTGAAGTTGCACCCAGAAGTCTTCAGTCACTCTCTTAGAGCATCCAAGAGCAGCAGAACCCTGCATGCACCTTTGAATGACAGGTCCAGAACCTTTGATCTCATGGAGGATAACAGCTTAGCTTTCCTTCTAGAATTTCTGCTCTGAGGTCCACATCCTGCAATGAAAGTGTCTCCAGGAGGAGTGGAGATTTGCTCAACACCAAGTGCTAAAGGCTCCATCCCTAGAGGTGGCCGTTTTCTGGACAGTAATGTCCTGTGTGACCAGAACCGAGATAATGATCAGCAAGATTCAGTGTGACAAAGACTGTGGTGTCCTGAATGCACATGCTTCTTCGCGCCTTTCTCACATGAGCTCAGGACTCATGTCCACAAACCTGAAGATGTGTCAGGCAGCTGTCTGTCCCTCCACTCCCCTGCATCTTCATAGGAAACATTGATGTCACATGCTAGGCCTAGCTGTGGCATCTCTTTGTCCTCTTCATTCGGGCCTGATTTCCCAACATTTTTATACCTTTCAAGTATCTTTTTTAAAGAGTATGGAGTATGGTTTTCTAAGTATCTCCTAGTTTACCTAATGGGCAGGCTGGGGCCATGAGCATCTGCCCTGTTGATCAGATGTCACTTATGTTACATGGGTTTGTCTTCTAACCTCTGCTGGCGGTTGATTTTATTGTTGGGGAACATTTGATGATGGTAGATTCTACCACATTCTTAATTAATCAGTGCTTTAATTTTTGTATGTAAACTTATTTTGAGACTGTTAATAAATTAATCTTCACCTGCTTGTTCCTATTGGTATTTCTCTTCCAAATTTTGCATCTGGCTTTCAATTTTAACCTTAGAAAATCTATCACATCTCTCATGTGTATATATTTCTTTCCTGAAAAACTAACCTTTATTTTTATTTTATGTATGCAAATGTTTTATCTGCATGTATGTCTCTTCACCACACGTGTGTAGTGCCCATTGTACCCAGAAGAAGGGGACAAATCCCTGAGATGGTTGTGAGCTGCCATGTGGGTACTGGGAATGAAACCTGGCTTGTCTGGAAGAGCAACCGGGACTCCTATTCCAGGCTGTGTTGCCATTCCAATGCTACTTGCCCCCCTGTATTTAAATACTCATGTTCATCAGGAAGTATTACAACCCATTGCTAGCCAGCACTTGTTTTAAAAGCATAAATATTTCATACTTGACCACTCAAGCTGATGTTTCCTGATTTTTGAATAACAGTGTATTCCAAACATACAGGTTTTCCTTCTCCAAGACTAAATTTTGTCATTTTCCATAAATGCTGGTTCTTTTTTATCAAATAATAATATGTAGAATGCAATAGGAAACACCTGGTCATGAGGCTTACAGTGTCAGTTGTGACGAGACAGTTCCCAGCTTGGACTAATCACTGCTCTGTCCTCTATTCTGTCTCTAGAGATCTTGATCACCACCAATCAGAGCACAGGATGAGATGTAAAGCAGGGGATCAAAGATTGTCTAAGTCACTGACCTCATGTGCAAACCTGTGATCAGTAATAGGCTCTTATTAAATGATGTAGTTTGTGATGCTAACTGATAGAAAGGACATAAACATTGGAAATCTTCAAATGGATGGGCCCATAACTTTGGGGACGAGTCACGGTCTGGATGTACCACAAAGAGAACTAAACTACAAATAAAAACATAAGACCCTGCTCTGTCAGTTCTTGGGAACTGTAATGTTGAAAAGGAAAGAACTCTCTTCTCTCCTTTATGGAATCTGCTTATGGGGTGGAAGTAAACATATATTACAGTGTGTTGCTGTGGTGATTATCTGAAACAACTGGCCTGCTAAATGAAGTGTGTAATTTAGAGTAAGTAATAACATTCTTAATTACAGCACCTGTGGGTCTCTCTGTGTTGCTCCTTTATTTTATTGGTATAGATGGGAGAATTCTTTAAACTGAATGAGGCAAGAGGCCTCCATGGGAAGTGGATTTTGCACTATAGTGAGGAGAAGGCATGTTCCTGGGCAGCAATGGGTCAGGAGGAACCTCTTCCTGGGGAAGGTAAGTTGGGGTCTATTCTCATTCTTCTCACCATAGGTAGGCCTAAGAATTATCACACAAGGTATTTATTCGAAATATATAAAGGATCAAATGCCTAGTCTTTCAGTATTTCATGGATCTGCTTCATTAACTTGAATAAGTGAAATATGTAGCTGAGATTTTGTATCTTTATAATTTTTATAAATAGGAAGAAGAGACAAAGTCTCTGTATCTTATTAGCTCTCCAATTAAAGTGAGTTGTGAACAGTGAGCAAAGGAACAGATTGTCCCAGATAGAAAGACAAAGAGGTCAGAGCAAACCCAGGGCACTCCAGCCCCAAGAAACACTGGCTCTGAATCAACACTAGCTGTGCAGGCAAATGCAGTCTCCTCCTGGTCCGAGCCTCTGCATCATGAGAAGAGACACTGCCTTAGATAATCAGGCAAACGTAATGATCATATCAAGCATTTCAGTGCCTTCTGTGCAGCATTTGTCACCCTCTGCAGACAGTGGTAGGAAACACAGCTTCTGTGTGAGGAAACCTGGTGGACACTGACTCCGGGAGAAGCACATTTGTCTAGGTCTGCGTCCTTTTCTCTGCACTGCTCACTGATTGCTGCAGTGGGACGCATGCTCCAAGGGGCAGCTCTGCTTCATCTCCTGTCCCACTCTTTTTTTTTAAGGTTAAAGCTTAAAACACAGTTGTGAAATTAAAGAATTGCCAAATTACATATATAAACCAATATCCAGAATATACCAGAACGTTTGGTTATTGATTCCACACCACTGCCACTGAAGTCTTTAATCACTTGCCTGGCAGAAAGCACAAGGGAGAAAGAGTCATCACTGCATTTCCTTTCCTGCGTGTCAGGTGGTGTAGCAGATGCATGTACTAACTACATTTAACAAAGGGGCTCGAATTTAGAAAGATAAGACCTATTCAGGGATTGTTCATGGGATAGAAGTCTATTCTCCTAAGCAAATGCCAGTTAAAGCTATCTAACAACTAAAAACCCCAAAATTCAACTCTTTCCATTGTCAGGAGCCATCCCTTAAAAAAAAAAACATGTGACACTCAAAAAGTCTACACAATGGCAGGAATTCAGCTTGGTTGCTCTGAGCAAGAGGCAGGCTTTAGGTCTCTGTCGTCAGTGAGGCAGAAAAGAATAAAGGAAGTTGAAATCTCCATCAGAAGCAAGGAGGGATTGACACCGTACTTGTGTGTGTGTGTGTGTGTGTGTGTGTGTGTGTGTGTGTGTACTGACTGAAACCAGCTGCAAAATGGAGATATATGGAAAGGCTCATCTGTAAGGATTCCAGAAAAGAAATTCCAGGAAAAAAAGATGGAATAAGGTGGAGCTCTGAACCCCCTAGCACTCATCACAACTCACCCATTGAGAAAGGCAGAAAAGATTCTCTCTTCTTAAACTCTCCATTCTCCAAAAAGTGCTCCGGATTGAAGATATCTGGGGTGGCCCATTCTTTGGGGTCCTTGTGCAGTGCAGTCAAATTGGTCTGGAGTATGGAGCCCTAGGGAAGGCAGCAAAGACACAAATAATGTGTGGACTAGACACACAGAGGGTTAGTGGTTAACAGATTCCATTCCTTAGCCTACTTACCTTGGGCAGGTGGAATCCCGCCAGCGTAGTGTCAGCTGTCACTTTCCTGGAAACATTTAGAGGGACGATATTGGCCATCCTCTGCACTTCATGGACAACAGCATTGGTGTAGGGCATGGAGTCTCTGTCAGACAGGTTGGGCTGCTTCTCCTGGCCAATCACTCTGTCAATTTCAGCCTGAACTTTTGCTTCAAGGAAACGGGAGGCTCCATTAAGTTTTAAAGTTTCATGTTATCTTCTAAAGACTGAGAAAGCTGTCTTTCAAAACAAATATGCTTTTATTTCATCTAGTGTCCTGATTATGAGGAAATAAAAGTTCTCTACCCCTTAGAAAACCTGATTTAGAGAAGTGTAAACTCGGGACTGGAGAGATGGCTCAGCAGTTAAGAGCATTGCCTGCTGTTCCAAAGGTCCTGAGTTCAATTCCCAGCAACCACGTGGTGGCTCACAACCATCTGTAATATGGCCTGGTGTCCTCTTCAGGCATGCACGTAGGCAGAATATTGTATACATAATAAATAAATGAATATTAAAAAAAGAAAAGAAAAAAAGAAAAGTGTAAACTCTATAACTTTCTTCAGACCTACAGCATAGGTATGAATTTCTATAAATCCTTAAGTGACTAATCAGGATGGCTATGGCTAAGCTCATATGAGTGTCTACTCAGACTTCTATAAATAAATACTTTCCCCTGAATATATTGTCACCAGTACACTTTGGTTTTATCCACATGAAGAGTCTAGAAATTCTAAGATCAGGTCATCAGCAGATTTCTTGTCTTAGAAGAATCAACTTCCTTTGTCATAGTTGGGAAATCTTTGTTGTATCATCATGTCATAATATGAAAAGAAGCTGTCTTGCTCTTCTTTCTTAAGCACAGATTCCCTTCATAATGAGTAATCACCTCTTCACACCATCACATTGGTAATTGAGTTTCAATGAGTTCATAGGGAGGACACAAACAGTGAGATTACTGCGTATCTGCAGACTAATTTCTCATGGACATTTGCTATCATGGGCAATGAATTGCAATGTGTTTCTGGGCAGCTCTAATTGTCAAACTAGGAATATTTTATGAGCGTTGGTTTCTTCATCTAATAATTGAGAGTAAATAATCCGTATCCAAAGAGTATTTTGAGGTTTACATTGGTATAATAATTTAAACAATTGGTAGATGCTTCCTCTCAATATCTTCACTATCTTAGAGCAGTAGAGACTCAGTTGTTTACCTGCTTCTCTAGTTAAAGAAGTCATTTCCCAGATTCCTTACAGAGGAAATGTGACAAAACTAAAACATAAGCAGATATGGTGTTTCATCTTTGTGACAAAGCTTGTAGAGACAATGTCCCCTTCCTTCTCCAGTTTTCTCCCTGGGGTGCAAAGGCTGTTCTCACAGCAGCCACTGCAGAGTCTGTGAACCTCATCTGAGCTCACCACTGCCACAAGGTGAAATGAATTTGGAACTCTAGATCCTTTACTAGGTCCAGCATTGATGTAGGTGGGTCATCTGTATTTCTGTTTCTTTCATTGGTTAATTGATAAAGAAACTGCGTGGCCTGATAGGTCAGAAGATAGGTAGGTGGGGAAGACAGAACAGAACTGTGGGAGATAGAAAGCAGAGTCAGGCAGAGGCAGAGAGCTGTCGCCATGAAGCTGCCAGGTCAGACATGCTGAATCTTTCTGGTAAGCTACGACCTCGTGGTGGCCTACAGATTATTACAAATGGGTTGAGTTATTATGTAAGAGCTAGCCAATAAGGGGCTACAGATAATGGGCTAGTCAGTGTTTAAAAGAATACAGCTTCCGTGTAATTATTTCAGGTGTAAACTAGCCAGGGAGCCGGGCAGGGGGAACACGGTATGCCACTCCTTCTACACAGCATGGTTCTTTCTCTGGAGAGAGAGATATAAATGTCTAACATTGACTTTACTGTATATATAAAAAAATTAAATGGAAATAAATTTCATATAACACAATCAGATCTCAAAAACTATGAAGATTTTGAGTTAGGGCAAATTTGAGTCCATGATCATCTTGAATTCTCAACAGCCTTGCCTCAGTCTCTTAAGAAGTTTGATTAATGATGTGGGCTGATAATCATAGCTCTTATTTAAATTTTTAAACGTGCATTGCTATAATTCTAAACATATGTTGAGGAATCCCGAGTTTGCATTAGTGTTACTTAGGTAAAATCAACCTGAGGTCAGGAGGCTGAGTTAACAAATAGCTGACAGCAGGCATATTAAAGAGGTAGAGAGATGCACCAAAAGTATTTGAGAAGAGTTTATGTGGTTTGGCTTTTTTATTTTCATGAAGTAGAAGGATGTGCTTTTCAGCGATACCAGCTATGAGGGAAGGTTAGCTACCTGCTACTCAATCTCTCTGAGCTAGCAGGATATCACCTCATACACAATTATATTAATATGTTACATATATATTAATTATCTGTATCTATATTATGCATATCAATATGCTCGAGTTTTATTTCTAAATAGAATGATAGAGATGTAGTTAAAACTACATTTAGCAGCAGTGGCATATCCAGTGCCTGTGGGAACAGAATTCCTGCAGGCTGAGCCTTGAGTGCCTGGGCTAATGACACAGAAGCAGGAAGGTAACTGAATTGAGCTGCTGACCAAAAAGGCAGTAGATTGAGGGGCAGCCAGTGTGCTGAAGTTGAAACAACTACATTATTGTGTAATGTATAAGTAATGGTAGGACCAGTGGAGTTTGCAAAAAAAAAATTATGTCTTCATAATTCTCCGTTTATTTCTCTTGTATTCTACCTTCCATGTCTTCAAATTTAACTACTTTAGAGAATTTCTATTGTTAAGTCTGTAGAACGTTTGACTTCCATATTTATGAATTAAGACATTTTCCTTGAGGGCTGAACTTCTGTACTGAACTTTACTCATGACCTATTGGTATCCTGGATACTTCCAACTGTTGAGTACTGTTAATACTACATAATGAACATGAATTAAACTTTTATCAATTAATATATTTGATGAAGAGATGATTTAGCACTTATGTCCAAATTTGATGATATGTGATTGACCTTAGGAGCCCACATTGTGAGAAAGACCAACTTCCGTAAATTGCTTTTGAGCTCACCATGTACACAGGAGAAGAGAGCATGCAAGTGTGCACACACAGACCAAATAAAAAATATAATTCAAAAAGCTTTTAGAAATATACTGGTATTCTGGAATATTGGTTTTAGAGACAAGCCTGAAGAGTGACTCAGTAGGTTCAAAAATTTCTTAAAAATGCACCTTTCATTCAGAAAGACATTTTAGATAATATAAAAGGAGGGTGGTTTTCTTTGCTCTATGTTTAAAATCTGCCTATGTGTGAGTAAATGTGACAATTTTCTTTCTGTGTATGGGTTACCTAACTCAAAATAATGGTTCCTAGCTTCATGTTTACATCCATTTTCCTGTAAAATTCAAGATATCGTTATTTTTTCTGCTGTCTAGTACTCCATTGTGTAAATGTACCACAATTTCCTTATCCATTTGGTCAAGGGGCATAAAGCAAAGAAAACCAGCCTATAAACCACAATCCCAGAGAACTTAGACAACCATGAGGACACTAAAAGAGACTTACATAGTTCTAATCTACATGGGAAGTAGAAAAAGACAAGATCTCCTGAGTACATTGAGAGCAGGGGGAACTTGGGGACAGGTTGAATGGGAAGGGGAGAAGTAGAGAGTGTAGCAGAAAAAAATGTAGAGTTCAAAAAAATCAAGAGAAAAAGGAAGGAGGGTTTGAATCAATATTGGATGGTAAATACACTCTTTGCAGATACATGCCACAATGTAAATTGACATCTCTCTTTTCTCCTGAAATCCAAGCTTGTTGAAGGTACAGACTCTAATATCTGCACTCTTGAAACTATCATAGTCATCACAGATCATGTGATGGATGTGCTGTTTCCCGAGTGCACATCACCTCACATATGCTCCTCCTCTTCCCATTCCCCCATCCTGTCTTCTGAACCTGTTCTGCCTTGGTTAGATGCTGTTATTACATCTCACCTTGAATTTCTGGGTAGAGAGCCATGTAGAGCAGAGCCCAGCGCAGGGTCGTGGATGTTGTCTCAGTTCCAGCAAGGAAGAGGTCCAGAGTGCTGCAGATGAGGTTTTCTTCATTGAAACTTGTAGTAGTTTTGTCGGGATGCTAGAAAAGACGGTGTGTATTTGTTCAATCATAAGATTTTTGACTGTCTTGTAACACTGATTCATGAGAATGAATTGCATTAAGTCATTCAGAGTGATGCTGTCTTTGATATTCAACAGCTGACTTTGATGATACCAGAAAGATGAATATCCATTTTCTGTGTTCACTGATTCTCCAATCTGCATCACCTTGTAAAATCAAAACGGCACTGATTCCATCAATAGTTCTTTATGACAAGCATCACCTTTCTCACTTTCTTTAGAAGCATCGGTTTGTTAATACAGCTCTTAATGTTGTTGTTCTCAAACCTGTACTTCATATGATAAAGGATTTGCCTCCTCCTCCAGGCATAAATTTGTTTACATCAATATTATATTAGGAAGATGAAATAAGAGAAAAGATAATACACACACACACACACATTTACCAGTGTGACCCAGACAGAGGAGGAGCCCATAATCCAGTGAGTTGAAGTTTTTATGACAGATTCAATGATATGTATTTGCCAGAGGATCACTCGGATTAATAGGATTCTACATTTTACAGTGTGATTTGAATTCAAGATGTTCCTCCACAGTTTCATGTTTTAAATACTGGTTCCTTGCACCGATAATATTTGTGGAGGTTCTAAGAAATTGGAAGAGAGCATCTCACTGACAGGAGGGTTGGTAGTTCCTTAGAGTTACACCCAACCCATGTTTCTTTCCTTTCTTGCAGTTTCCTAATGAACAGTGATGTGAAAGCCTCCACCATAGCCTTCTGCCCCATGAGCTGAGTTGCTTTACCATTCACTTTGATGAAATGAAATATTTTGAAACTTGACCAGATGACATTTTTCTTTATTTTCTTGTTCCTGCCATATAATGTTGTCACACTGATCCAAAGTTCACTATTATGTTTGCTCAGTGTCTTCTTGCCTTGGTCTATTATTGAATAGTATTCATATAGAGTCCCAGGAAAGTTCATATAGAGTTCATATGTGCCTCAGCTCTACATGAATTATAAAATCTACCACTTACTTAGCTTAGCTCAAGTTTGTCTGTTTCAGTGGGGTTTGAGTTGGGGAGTTATTGGATCAACTAATAATAAAATAAAGTTCTGAAATTAAATGCTAATTATATTTCCCATATATCTTTTTCAGATATGGGAGAAGGACCAAGGAAAGAAATAATAAGGAAGAATCAGGGCATTTCCAGGACCTCTAGCCAAATGGTGGCAAACCCTTAATTTCTAAAAAACCCAAAAACACCAAGGTTATATTACCGTGCATTTATAAAACATTACTCCTGTGTTTTACTTCAAAATATGGGTTAAGGAATGATCTACAGAGATGTTCATCTTGTCGTCTTTGCCACCATGGCATGCTACTCAATGCACAAAAATAGATCTTGAGGATATGATCCATTTCAGGAGGAAAGGTTATCCTGAGTTATCTTTATGAGAGGTGCCTGCAGAGTTAGAACAGGAGAAAAGAGATGTGAAAGGATCAGAAAAGAAAGAGATGATATAATCTCAGCACTGAAGATGGAGCAGGCAACCACAGAAACAAACATCAATGTCTCCTAAGAGATGGGAGACACAAGACAATGATGTTTTTATTGTTTCCCAAATTTGGCTGTCTGGCTGGCCGGATTACAGGAATGATCTAGAACTATGAGAGAATAAATCTCTGCTATGCTAAAACCCTACCTTTGTGCTAGCCCGCTGCTCAATCAGTTGGAATCTATTCTACACCACCCTTTCTGTAAGAAAACACATGCATTGTCCTCCCCACCTTGGTCATTTCCGTGAAGAAAGCATCAATGAAGTCTCTTGGTTCATCAGGGTTCCAGTCTCTGCGGTGATTTTCAACTATATCAGAAATATATGACTTCAGTTTTCTCCAGGAGGCTAATGCTGATTGGTGTGATCCAGGAAGATGTTTTATTATCCATGGGAAGGAGTTATAGAGCTAATTAGGGAGAAGAACATGAGCATGGAGACAATATAAAGTCACTTTCTGTTTCAAGATAGGGTGGACTTTTCCTCTTGATCTTCTACTGGAACTGTGGGAATATCTGGACTGCTGTTTTTCTTAAGATAATTTGGTGGACATATCAGTGCTCCCATGCAAAATACAGTAGCCTCTGACTACTTCTCAATCGTCAAATTCTTTTCACTCTAGGACATACACCAATATACCATTCCATAGTTGTCCTAATTCTGATTCTAATGCCATCAAAGACACTTAAGGGTCAAAGGATGAAGGAGACAGGAACTGAGATCAAGCAGGGAATCATAGATTGAAGAGATAGCCCCACCTACAGTGGGTACAAATTGAGCAAATCAACTGAAATTAACCCTGGAATTTGATATTTCTGAGTCTAAGATTTTGCAATGGATTATGGTACTAACTAACTTTCTATGTTTCATTGCTATAAAACCTAGAAACTCTGATTTTCCAGGAGTGTATGTGCTATAGAACCTAGAAACTCTGATTTTCCAGGAGTGTATGTGACATGCAATAGTATTCCTGCAGCATGGTGATTGGTACTCAGGGGGCCCTGAATGTCTGAAGGCAGGTGTTATAATTTAGCAAAAGTTGTGAGTCTTTTCTTACATTTATTTAATTTTATTTCTCAACTTTTTTACTACCGAGCAATATATTTGATGTCTCCCATAAGCTGCTTGTATTTTTCTCTTCTCCCTCATAACATTTCTCTCCACTTCTTCATTTTTGAACCTTGCTTCTCTTCTTTTTCTCTGTTTCCTGCTCTCCCTTTTTTATTTCACTTATTTACTGTTTCCAGCTTACCTTAAATAATTTTATCAACATAGAAAATTGCATAGTAGCCTTCACATTTTAATTTCAACAGAGATATATTAGTCAACTATCAATGGTTTTAATTAAGTTTTATATATACAAGTATGTTTATGTATGTATAATTTAATATTGTTGCCAGAACAGTTTGCTTACACTTCTAAAATGAAAAAGAAAAAACCTATTTGTCCTTGAATTAGCCCCAGTTCAATTTCTCCCAGTATAAAAGAAACTAGAATGCGTACCCGGACCATCTTTGATGAAGTCAAATACATGGCCTCATCCAATAACCTCAGCAGCTCCTGAAACTGACTGTCATGGTAGTCAAACCGCTCACCAAAGGTGATGGAGCAAATGATATTGGAAACAGCATTGTTGATCTTGAAGTGAGGGTTGAAAGGCTGTCCTGAGGTAGATAAAGAAAAAGTGCATCTTTCAAAGATGTTGGTTTGTTAATTCCATATGACAGAGAACCATACATACTAGAGAGCTATGTAAGAGGCTCTGGATTAGCTTGATATGAGGTTTAACATGCACCAAAGAATCTGTTAATATCTGGGATGCCAGACTGATGACCAGGCCATAAGGTAGGAGCAAGTCTAATGACCAGTTGTGTGATTAACTGCAAATTCTAGGGCAAGTTCATGGCTACATGTTCACTGGTCAATGCTCAGTGCTCAGCACAGTGCACACAGTTCAGGACAAGCACTTAGATACTTAGGTGGATTCTGTTTAATGAATTAGAGGGCCACAGCCTCCCACACCTGCCCTGTGGAATGCTCACCTTCCTCCTCTTTTATGACCCCCACAAGGTGTTGAGCCTCCTCCTGCATGCGTTGCTCTATGCTCTTCTTTCCCAACCCAAAGTTCCTCAGAGTCATCAGCGCAAACCTTCTTTGCTCCTTCCATGTCTGGCCACTGGAGAAGATCAGTCCTGGAAAGAAGCAATACAGTGTTATAGCATTGTGATTCTGATTTAAAACTACCTGGCAAATGGGATGGTCACATGTATGCTGTAAAAGAGAAGAGCCGAAAACGGACTGACAACTGTCTAGAGAGAGACAATAGCACAAAGCAAGGAGCATAAAAGCTAGCATCTCCTGGTGGCTCACAATATCAGTGTTTATTCAGTATTTTTAATATATTCTTTAATTTTAATACTCTTAGAAAAACACAAAAGTTATTGCCAGAACATTCCAGATCTATAACAATAGACTGAAAAAAGAGATGCAAGGGCAAAGTAAAATTTTTAAGAAACATGATAACTATGTATTAATGAGGTGATCATATCCAATTCTCCCCAGTACCAAATCATCTACACTTTATGTTTAATATGTATGTATGCATACACACATATTGTCTTGTGTCTTGTTATCTATGTCAAGCAAAATGCCAGGAACCACTCCTGATTCCACAATCTGTACAAGACATCTCTCCTTTTCATTCTTTCAACAATATTATATTCTCATGAATAATAATTCTTTCAGGTAATTAAGTGAATATTATTTATTCAGAGAAGACTTTCCAGAATCCTCATACAATGTTAGACATCTTTGATTAAACACCTTCTACATTGATAGTGCTTTACTATTTAAACCATAGCATTAACTTTTACTGTGCTGACTGGTTTTATGTCAATGTGACACAAGCTATTTTTTCTACAGTGGGGAGCCTCAACTGAGAACATAGAAGAACATAGGATCATAGGCAAGGTTGTAGAGCATTTTCTTAATTAATGCTTGGTGTGGAAGGGTCCACCTATGAGGTTGCTGCTAACCTGGGGTGGTGGTCCTGATTTCTATAAGAAAGCAGGCTGAATAAAGCAGAAGGAGCAAGACAGAAAACAGTATTCCTCCACGGCCTCTGTGCCAGATGCTGTCTACAGGTTTTTGCTCTGAGTTTCTGTCCTGGATTCATTTGGGATGAACAGTGTATATGAAAGTAGAGCTGAATAAACCCTCTCCTCCCCAAGTGTCTTTGGTCATGGTATTTCATCACAGTAAAGTAACTCCATGTCAGATGTCTAGCACTGTGCTTCTTACAACAGACAACACAGTGTTGACCTAAAATTTTTCCGAAGAGTACTTAGGAAGGGCCTAAGAGGCTGTTTTGTTAGATTAATAGATTTCAAATTCTGTGTTCAACTTATGACTTTATTTGACAATAATATAAAGTACTCATACTAACAAATTATAACATTGTCGAGGAACCTCGAGATCCTCATGACTTTAATGATACAGCATAAACAGCTATAAGCAAGATGCAGTAGATAGGAAAAGCTGACTTCCATCCATTTCCCTAGGGCTGACATGAGGAAATGAAAGTGAGCATAGTTTCTGGCTGTGTTTGGGTGTTGTGGTTACTTCCTATCAAAGTATATAGAATTAGTTTTTACTAATAAGTTGTTTACTAGGTCTCTACTGGGACACACTATAAACCATCTTATGAGTGCTTTCATTCAAGCAATGTGGTTCCAGCGCCCATTAATGACGGCATTTCATGAAGGTATTGGCTTATGAGAGTGATGGATACATAAAGCATATAAGAGCCTTTTATGTATTAAAAATTACAATGCATATCTGACAACACATGAAAGTCTTACCGTTTTCATTATGGACAAGATTTTGCAATGGAAATTGAGGGCGACTCATAATGTTTTCTTCCAGGTGAGTAAAGGCTTCTTTGATTAAAGGCAGACTGCTTACAATCACTGAAGACATGCTTCAAAAATCCAGACTGATAACATTCCCATACTTCTTCACAAGCTGAAACATATTTCAATAGTTAGCGGCGAGTGTGCTCATACCTCTGTGTCCAGGGATGGCAGACATATTTGTAGCAAATGGTAATCACATTGATAAGTCTTTATTTCTCTGTGAATGATACATGTTGGTATGTTGAAATGGTTTTGATTTTCTTTTCTTTGAAATGTCCTTAATGGAAATCAACTTCAAGAATGAGATTCACCAATAGAAATTCATTAACAGGAATCAATGAATGGATGATATTATAGTGTGTATCCCTCTAGGAAGATTTTAGTACGTGAATTTCAGTAAATAAGCTAATTCTCTAACTCCTCATTCTGCATTCTAGGACAGGCAAAACACAGTGTATGGCACCTGGTAAAGAAAAAGGTGTGTCTGTGGAAGTCATACCTTGTAGTATGCTCAGAGTAGGTAGCACAGAATAAGGAAAAATATTTTTGCATCCAGTGTGTGTGCGTTTGTGTGTTTGTGTGTGTGTGTGTGTGTTTGTGTGTGTGTGTGTGTTTGTTGTATGTGAAGGGTGGTGTTGCACATGAGTATTTCAGTGGACATCTTTTGGGAGTTTGTTCTCTCCTCTCTGGACCGTGTGGGTCCAGGTGATCAAATTCAGATTACCACGTTTTTCAGCAAGTGTCCTTACCCACTGAACAACCTTTATGGCCTGCAAGCATGGAATTCACAGTAAAGGAAAATATCTGTTGATGTCTTTCTTGTATAAATAGTTATGGTAACAGAAACAATAGCAAAATAACTGAGTTTATTTAAATATTAGAATATGATTTAGAAGAGGGTTCTGGTCATAGAAGCAACAAAAAGATGGAGGGGCAGAACTCAGAGACAGTGCTGATGAGCTCATGCAGCATTCATGTCACAGAATCCTGGCTAATGTGCAAAAATTGACCGGGGTTCTCAGGGGTCAGCTCTGATTATATTTAAAAGATGAAAAAAAAAGGAAAAGAAAGAAAATGAAATGAGCTTCAATAGTAGGCACCTTAACAGTTACTTTGAATTTATTGAGTAATTTTATACATACAAGGATCATATGAGGCATATTCAGGACCGTTGTATGTTGGGATCCCATCGTTACAGCTAGCTTGAAGTACATGCTGATACCTAACTTGTGTATCACAGCCCACTACAGTCTGACAAGACTCTCTCTTATTTATGTAGTATTTCTGTAATAGTTCTGTGAACTACTACAGAGAAAGCTAAGAAACCATGAGATGGAGGGAAGTAGAGTCCCCACGTGCTCAACAAAGAGCCACCTTCCTCCCTGTCCTCATCCTGTTTTCAGTGATGTCACTTTAACGGATATAAAATGTCCACCCCTTTACTTCACTAGACCCTTGTTAAACATTCCTCTAGGCACAGTACAACTGGCGGCATCATTCTATCAAAGGCTAGGCCCAGAGCTGCCCATCAACCTAGATTTCATATGATATCACAATTGATTACAGAATCCGTAGGACTCATTGGACCATAGACCAATGAGTGTTGCGTTGTGCCTGCCATGCTAAGCATTTTTTTTAGTGTCTCCTGAGTGAATGTGTCTTTGATGAAATATATGTAGATACTAAAGGTCATTCTCTTCTATAGAATATATATATATATATATATATATACATACATGTATACAGACACACACACACACACACATATATATATATATATATATATATATATATATATATATATAGTTTCTGTATTGAGTCAAATCATCTATGTTCAAGAACTTGTTTTGCCACTATTCCACTGAGCAACCTGGGGAAATCAGATTACCCCTTTTTTCGACAGTGGAAAATGGAATGCTAAGAGATGATTTCTAACGTGAATTCATCTGTGCTTATCATGGAGGGCGAATGAAGGGGGCATAAACCCCAAAGGAAAAGCCATGAATCAACTTGTGGGGTTTTATCCTCATAGCAAGAATTAAAATTTAATTATACCTAAGTTGCATCATTTAACCTCATTTGATTATACACAGATATCAAAATGTAAACCTATCGGTAATACAAAATAAATAAATGAAAAATTATTGAACTGGCATGATGTTTCCAGCCTCAGTGTCACCATGACCTAATTCTGTGACACCAGACATATCACCCAACTTCATATGACTGTGTAGCAAGACATAGATCTCATATTTTTACCCTGACAAGATTAAATAAAAGCATGTCTTTTTATTTTTGTAACTTATGTTAGCATTTGCGAGAAGCAAACCTCCCACCAAAGTTTATTTTGCTTTGCCAAAATACAAGAAAAGTGATTCTCAACAGGGCAGAGATCATTTTAACTTTTTGCTTCTAAGTCCCAGAGCCAAATACCATCAAATGGAGGCATCAAGGTGTTACAGTGGTGAGCTTCAGGGATGTCATCTTGATATGTGTTTATCCTGAGCTGAGCCTGTGAGTTAAACTGTGACTTCTATAGCTGAACTGCTATGTAGAGAATCTCCAATGAAGCCTTGGAGAGAATTTTGCTCTCCATGCACAGCTCAGAGAAAGCCGATGGCAAACAGCAAGACCCAGTACCATAGATGTCATGGCTGTGCACCAATGTCACGAAAACAGGAATGTGTAGATGAGAAAACACTTGGAAAAAGTTTGGAAACTTCCATGTCTGGCAAAATGCAAGCCTTCCATGTCGATTCCAACAGCATGAAGCCCCAAACAATGCAAACCACCACAATCAATATGGAAACTGAATCTCTTGAAAGCAAATAGACAAAACAACAACAAATACAATCAAACAACCAAAAAACAAAACAAAACAAAACCTTTAATGCTTATAGGGAAACCACAAAGGCCAGCAAGGAGTAGGAGAACATCTAAAACTGTGAGTGCCTCTCATTGTCAACCTAGTTGTCTACAATCAGGGGGAAGACAGAGTGGGAGGGAGGGGAAAGGCATTCTGAGTAGGGGCGCAGCTATGAGATTCTCTTCTGCTACAGTGTCCTCTGAAGGAATGAAAGAAAAATGTCCTTGAGGTCAGAAAGGAAATGACAGAAAAAAGACGGCTATGGAAGGATGAGTAAGCACAAAGACAACAGACTCCTGTGCCTCTGAGTTTCAGCTGCAATGACACTGAAGAGCAGGGCAGTGTGGGATGTGGGTCTCAATGAGTGGGGACAGCACTTGGGGCAGCGCATCATACAGGGGAGAGAGTTCCCCCTTGTTTGTAGTTGATTCTCTACACATGGAAAATGGTGTTAGCAAACTCTCATGAGCTGTGTGTGTGTATTGAGTAACACAGAACCAATGCTGGGAGGACAATAGTAGAGATGTAGAAGATGAATAAAAAGGCATCTACTCGGAGAGTGTCCAAGAAACCTGTGGCAGGATAGGAAAATAAAATTAAAGAATGAAAGCCGAGAAAATAGACAAACCACAAAACAATAAAACATTGAGTTTCAATGCTTACATGTAAATTGTGAACAGACCTGTTCTATCTCTCCCAATTAATGATGAAACTTGAATAATAAATAAATTTCCCAATTATATGGAATCCAGATGGATGCAATTTTAGTATTATGTTTAGGTCCAAATAAAAGAACTGAAAAGCAAATGCCTTTCACATACTGACTAAAGGGGAGGTTGCAGGGTGTAAGAGATCAGAGAAAAATCAGGAAAAAACAAATTTTCTTTGGATAACGAGGAACATTAGAAAGCCACAGTTAAGTCATCAAATGGTGCCTGCCAATCCTTAATGTCACTGTTTACACAGAACAAACTTCCCAATTTAATCAGCGAGAGCTTCCAGAACTAGGTGGAGAAATGGCCACTCTTCCAGCGGACCTGGACACTAAATTGTGGTTTTCTTAGTAATTGATAACATCAGTGAGTGAGCAGTCAGCAAGGAGTAGAGAACTAAGGCTCAGTAAGAGAGAGCTAACACCTAAACAAAACCACTCTGCCCCCCCACTCATTTTTTTTTCCAGAGTAGCTTTTTAATCAACTAAGCTGAGACCTAGACTTTACACACACTTTGTAAAGCTGCAGGACACATCTGTCTCTATTATCATTTACTATCAAATCATCACACAGACCTGGATATATTTAATGAATTCAAATCACACAGTAGCTTCTCTAATCTAAATGGAATCATCACCTGGGAAGTGTCATTGAAAGAGAAGAAATTCTCCAATTAGTTTTGTTTCTCTCTCTCTCTCTCTCTCTCTCTCTCTCTCTCTCCCTCTTTCTCTCTCTCTCCTCCCTCTCTCCCTCTCTCCCTCTCTCCCTCCCTCCCTCCCTCCCTCCCTCCCTCTTCCCCCTAAGACAGAACTTCTCTGTGTAGCCAAGCCTGTCTTGGAACTCGTGCTGCAGACCAGGCTGGCCTCAAACTCACAGAGATCCGCCACAACTGCCCTGCTTAGCTGCATATTTCTTAAAAGTGCATCTTTAGAAGTTAACTATATGTCCTGGGCTTAGGGACCAGTAGCATGAGCCTGGGAGCCCTGCCTGCCAACCCCCTGCTCCCCAGTTCCCGGAAGTCGCAGATCCACCAGCTCAGGATTAGGTCAGCTCACTGCTGGACCATCTTGCACCTTCCTACCTGCTGGACCACCAGGTGCGGCTGCTCCATGCCCTTGTGCAGTAAATTGCCCACGAAGGGCAGGCGTTGCGGCCCTGGCGGAAAGTTTTTGGGGTGCCGTCTTTTGAGGTAGTCAGCCAGGAACAAGAAGGTGACCCCAGCCAACAGTAGAGTCCGGATATGGAGCACTGCCCAGATGGAGGTCACCAGAGAGCCTCCATCTAGCCTCCATGCTAGGCAGCAGCTAGCATGATTGGTATTCAAGTGGACTCTTCAGAGGAATGAGGTCTGAGCTGAAACTCAAGGCTCCTAATTTTATAGAGCTCTCAAATAATCTATTCCAGTCCTCTTCTGATCACACCCCTCCACATTCCTTGTAGGCCCTAAGACCCAGAGAGCACAGATACCCTGCCCTTATAGGCCCAACCTTCCCTCTGTAAGCAGTGGTCTTAGCCACTCCTTCCAGTTGGATCAGGTCCTACTCCTAATGGTCAGAGTTTTCTGCCCTGCTCTGTTGCAAGCTTAACTAGATAGACCTTTGGAATTGTGTCTTTTCCCTTCAAATGGCAGTTATAATAGGAGGTGAAAAGAATGTGGGATTAATTAGATAATTAAAATTTGCACTCACTTATGAACTACTTTGGTACTATGTACAGGATAAAAGAACCCACGTAGCTGTAGACAGTCCGTAAATGAACACAGATGTAACTGAAGGTGAATTCTTTCCTGTAAAATCTGATTTTTGTAGCTTTTATTTATATATGTAAGGTGTCATTTTTAAAGTTACACCATTTGGTTTTATTGTCGTAGCTCTAAGCAATTGCTAAATAAATTTGCTAAGAGCAAATTTATCCTCTTAAAGGTTTGAACTAATATTAAGCAGAAAACTCGACTTTGAAACACACAGAACTTTGCCTGAAAAGTGACGAGACTTTAGGCAAAAAGTTGACTGTTGAGCAGTCATTGACAGCCTGGTTTTAAAATAATGTTTTTCCTTCAGTTTAAATTGAAAGAGATAAGAACATTGTAATCTATAGGTTTTGAATGTGACTGTTTGTTGGGATTCTGTCTCCCTGCCAAAATCATATTCATGGAAAGAAAAACTTAAAATAAGATCTTTGGAAGATGTCCTCTTTATGTGGATACATCTCAATAAGAGCATTTATTAGAATTTTTACTTATATGTTAAGAATATTTTTTTTCTTTTGAAAGTAATTTTATTAAATTATAAAAAGTTTCCATTTACGCCCCTCTTCCCAACGCCCTCCCACTCCCCCCCTCCCTCTCCTCCTCCCTCTTTGTCCCTAAGGGCAGTCAGGGTTTCCTGCCCTGTGGGAAGTTCAAGTTCCTCCCCCCTCCCTCCAGGTCCAGGAAGGTGAACATCCAAACAGACTGGATCCCCAAAATCCAGTATATGCAGAGGAAACTAGTCCTAGTGTCATTGTCAATGGCTTCTCAGAAAGACTCCAGGCCAGCCACATTCAGAGAATCCGGCCATATTCAGAGAATCTGGTTGGATCACGTGCTCGTTCAGTTGCAGTCCAACTGGCCTTGGTAAACTCTCATTAGATCCGATCCCTTGTATCAGTGGGTGATAGCATCCCTCGCAGTCCTTTGTCATTTTCTTCCTTCTTCTGCTCCTCATTTGGATCTTGGGGGGCTCAGTCTGGTGCTCCAATGTGGGTCTCCCTCTGTATCGCCATCCAACGCCAGATGAAGGATCTATGGTGATAAGCAAAATATTCATCAGTATGGTTATGGGCCAAGGCCGGTTCAGGCACCCTCTCCTCTGTCCAGAGAACAATCTGGGGGATCTCTCCTTGGACCTGGGATCCCATATATAATCAAGTTTCCTGTAAACTCTAAAATGACTCCCTTAGTTGAAATATATTGTTCCCTGATCCCAAATTCATCCTTCCTCCCTTCCCCCCATCCCGGTCCACCGAGCTTTCTCCATTCCTCCCCTACTCCCTTCTCTCTAACCCTCTCCCCTTCCAACAACCCTCCCACCCCCACCCATGCACCCAAGGTTACCTGGGACTCTTGACTATTTCCTACCTCCTGGCGGATAGCTAAATAATCTTCATCAGGTTCGTCTTCTTATTTAGCTTCTCTAGGATCACGAATAATAGGCTCAAAGACCTTTAATTATGGTTAGAATCCACTTATGAGTGAATACATACCGTGTTCCTCTTTTTGGGTCTGGCTTACCTCACTCAGTAAAGCGTGTTCTATGTCCATCCATTTACATGCAAAATTCAAGATGTCATTATTTTTTACCGCTGAGTAAAACTCTAATGTGTATATGTTCCACACCTTTTTTAACCATTCTTCTATTGAGGGGCACCTAGGCTGTTTCCAGGTTCTGGCTATTACAAATAGTGCTGCTATGAACATAGTTGAACAAACGCTTTTGTAGTATGTTCGGGAATCTCTAGGGTATATTCCCAAGAGAGGAATTGCTGGGTCCTGAGGGAGGTTGACTCCCAGTTTCCTGAGAAACCGCCACACTGATTTCCACAGTGGCTGCACAAGTTTGCATTCCCACCAACAATGGATGAGTGTTCCCCTCTCTCCACATCCTCTCCAGCATAGGCTATCATTGGTGTTTTTGACTTTAGCTAATCTGACCTGTGTAAAATGGTATCTCATAGTTGTTTTGATTTGCATTTCCCTGATCGCTAAGGATGTTGAGCATGACCTTAAGTGTCTTTTGGCCATTCGAAGTTCTTCTGTTGAGAATTCTCTGTTCAGATCAGCACCCCATTTTTTAATTGGGTTAATTAGAGTTTTAGTGTCTAGTTTCTTGAGTTCTTTGTATATTTTGGAGATCAGGCCTTTATCTGATGAGGGGTTGGTGAAGATCTTTTCCCAGTCAGAAGGTAGCCTTTTTGTCTTACTGACAGTGTCCTTTGCTTTACAGAAGCTTCTCAGTTTCAGTAGGTCCCATTTATTCATTGATTCTCTTATTGTCTGTGCTACAGGGGTTCTACTTAGGAAGTGGTCTCCTGTGCCTATGTCTTGTAGACTACTTCCCACTTTCTCTTCTATCTGGTTCAAAGTGGTCATATTAATGTTGAGGTCTTTAATCCATTTGGACTTGATTTTTGTGCATGGTGATAGATATGGATCTACTTTCATTCTTCTACAGGTTGACATCCAGTTATGCCAGCACCATTTGTTAAAGATGCTTTCCTTCTTCCATTGCATACCTTTAGCCCCCTTGTCGAAAATCAAGTGTTCATAGGATTGTGGGTCTTCTATTCGATTCCATAGGTCAACTTCTCTGTTCTTATGCCAGTACCAAGCTGTTTTCAATACTGTAGCTGTGTAATAGAGTTTGAAGTCAGGGATGGTTATACCTCCAGAAGTTCCTTTATTATATAAGATTGTTTTGGCTATCCTGGGTTTTTTGTTTTTCCATATAAAATTAATTATTATTCTCTCAAGGTTGTGAAGAAGTTTGATGGGATTTTGATGGGGATTGCATCGAATCTATAGATTGCTCTTGGTAGAATTGCCATTTTTACTATGTTGATCCTCCCAATCCAAGAGCAAGGGAGATCTTTCCATTTTCTGGTATCCTCCTCAATTTCTTTCTTCAAAGACTTAAAGTTCTTGTCAAATAGGTCCTTCACTTCCTTGGTCAGAGTTATCCCAAGATATTTTATGCTATTTGTGGTTATTGTGAAAGGTGAAGTTTCTCTGATTTCCCTCCCTGCTTCTTTATCCTTTGTGTATAGGAGGGTAACTGATTTTTTGGAGTTGATCTTGTATCCTGCCACATTACTAAAGGTGTTTATCAGCTGTAGGAGTTCTTTGGTAGAGTTTGTGGGGTCGCTCATTTATACTATCATATCATCTGCAAATAACGAAAGTTTAACTACTTCCTTTCAAATTCGAATCCCCTTGATCCCCTTATGTTGTTGTATTGCTATTGCTAGAACTTCTAGCACTATATTGAAGAGGTATGGGGAGAGTGGACAGCCTTGTCTTGTTCCTGATTTCAATGGAATGGCTTTAAGTTTCTCTCCGTTCAGTTTGATGTTAGCTGTCGGCTTGCTGTAAATACCTTTTATTATATTTAGGTATGATCCTTGTACCCCCAATCTCTCCAACACCTTTATCATAAAGGGATGTTGGATTTTGTCAAATGCTTTTTCAGCATCTAATGAGATGATCATATGGTTTTTTTCTTTCAGTTTATTTATATGATGGATTGCATTGATGGATTTGCATATGTTGAACCAGCCTTGCATCTCTGGAATGAAGCCTACTTGATCATAATGGATAATTTTTCTAATGTGTTCTTGAAATCGGTTTTCCAGGATTTTGTTGAGAATTTTTGTGTCGATGTTCATGAGTGAGATTGGACTATAATTCTCTTTCTTAGTTGTGTCTTTATGTGGTTTTGGTATCAGGGTAACTGTAGTTTCATAAAAAGAGTTTGGTAATGACTCTTCTGTTGCTATATCGTGAAATACCTTAAGGAGTATAGGTATCAGCTCTTCTTGGAAGTTCTGGTAGAATTCTGCATTGAAACCGTCTGGCCCTGGGCTTTTTTTGGTCGGGAGGTTTTTGATAACAGCCTCTAATTCTTCACGACTAACAGGTCTATTTAGATTGTTCACTTGCTCTTGATTTAACTTTGGTAAATGATATTTATCTAAAAACCAATCCATTTCTTGTACATTTTCCAACTTTGTGGCATATAAACTTTCGTAATAAGATCTAATGATTCTCTGAATTTCCTCTGTGTCTGTTGTTATGTCCCCCTTTTCATTTTTGATCTTATTAATTTGAATGTTCTCTCTCTGCCGTTTGATTAGTTTGGCTAGGAGTTTGTCAATCTTGTTGATTTTCTCCAAGAACCAGCTTTTTGTTTCATTGATTTTTTGGATTGTTTTCTGTGTTTCTATTTTGTTGATTTCAGCCCTCAGTTTGATTATTTCCAATCTTCTACTCCTCCTGGAGAGTCTGCTTCTTTTTTTCCAGAGCTTTCAGGTGTGCTGTTAAGTCTCCAATATGTGCTTTCTCCATTTTCTGTAATTGGGCACTTAGTACTATGAACTTTCCTCTTAGCACTGCTTTCATAGCATCCCATAGGTTTGAGTATGTTGTGTCTTTATTTTCATTAAATTCAAGGAAGACTTTAATTTCTTTCTTTCTTTCTTCCTTGACCCAGGGATGATTCAGTAGTTGACTGTTCAA